GTAGTTCCAGCTACTTGGAAGGCTGAGGTGGAAGGATCGCCGAAGCCCAGCAGGTCGAGGCTGTGGTGGCCGGGAGCGGCCACTGCACTCTAGTCTGGGTGACAGAGTGAGACTCCAACTCAAAAAAAAGGGTGGGGAGCAGAAGAAGGTCAGAAAGAGATTCTGTTTTTGAGGCCTGCTTCTGAAAGTGCCCCAACAGGGGCTACGGGAGTGATAAGCTAGGAGCCATGGGGAGAGAGAGAGAGAGAGAGAGAAATAGAGAGCACACTTGGAAAGATGCTCGCTGGAGGGACCCAGGAGAAGGTGAAGGGACTGTGTCTCAGACCCTTTACTGTTGCTATAACAGAATACCTGAGACTGGGTAATTTATAAAGAGAATTTATAAAGAAAAAGGGTTTATTTGGCTGGAAGGCTCATGACTGGGCAGCTGCATCCAGTGAGGGCTTCAGGCCATTTCCACTCATGGTGGAAAGCAGAATGGGAGTGGGGGTGCAAAGAGAGAAACAAGGGGCCACAGAACCACTTGCTCCCTCAGTTTAGTGACCCCTGGGCTTCCCTCCCTGAGGACTTGGCATTTGCACAGAGGCTTCCAGAACCCTTTGTGCCCAGTTGAGTGTCTCTAGCAGTGGGATGGCAAGCAATGTGAGTTGGGCCAGAAGTGACAGGACAAATGCTTTCCTTACAACATTCATCCAAAGGCCTACTCTGAGTCTCTTCACAGTCAACAGTTCTTGTCCTTGTGTGGTTTTGTGCGCATGTTGATGTGCAAAAGTATGTGTGTACCTTTGTGTGCCATGCACAGGTGTCCATTTGTGTGCATGCATATGTTTTTGGAGACTCCAGGCACTGACCCCCTCTTGAGGCAGGCCCTGACTGTTTCAGGTCTGCCCCCATAAGCCTGTCACCTCCATAGCCAGAGTATTCTAGAACCAAGATACGATTTCAGGATTGTGGCCCCTGAGATGCTCAGACCACATGTAAAGCTAGTTGCTGCTGGCTCGGCCATACAAGGACATGTAGCCACAAGAATGTGGTAGTTGCCATCCTTGCAGGGTAATAACTTCTAGGAGGTTTGCAGCCAACCTGTTTCCAGAAAGTCAATACAGGGTTGTTTATAAAAGAGGCATTCTCAGCCAACTTCAATCACCCCTGAAGTCCCTTCCTGACTCTTCACCTACTCTGGTTTCCTTCTGTAAGGACCCCTGAACAAGCTAGCTACCCTCTTTTAGACTAGGGCACTGACCACTGGGTAGCTTTCTGTTTCTCACACACACTCAGCCATTTCACTGTTCTTGGGTCTTCTTGATCTGTTTTCACCTAAATAAAGCTCTGACTGACTGACTTCAAAGGTGGGTGTGTGTGCAGACCTTTCATCTTCCCTTCCTCTCTGCCTTTGCTGTGACTCCCAGCCAGCAGGAGGAGATGAATCTCAGACTGGGCAATTTACCTACACATTAGCGGTGATACCCAGAGCTTTGGAGTTGACAAAATGAGCCAAAGTGAGATGGCTGGTTAACTGGCCAGTGTTGCTCTTTTGCTTCCTTGGCTATGTAGACAAGAAAACTGAGTTGTCAGGGGTAATCCACAGCACCAAGATCTGAGCCAGGACTCCTATCTCTTTCCTTCCCCCATGTTCCCTTGGGTCACTGACTTAAGTCTTCAGGTCTTTTAAACAGTTTAATATCTGTCTAATCATCCCTCAGCTCTACTTCTCAAGGGCAGTAGCAGTTGACCATAGGCAGAGTGGGGCTCAGGCAGACCCAGATTTGAAACCAACCTGCATACTTACTAGTCTAGATAAGCAACTTGACCTTGGTAAGCCTCAGTTTTGTCATCTATAAAATGGTGTTAGTGAAAATTCTCTCCCAGGGGTGACTTTAAATTAATAATTTTGTAAAACTTATGTGCAGATTGACATATAGCAGGTGCTCAATAAATGGTACTTGTGACTGGGCATGGTGGTTCATGCCTATAATCCCAGTGCTCTGAGAGACTGAGACAGGAGGATTTCTTGAGGCCAGGAGTATGAACCAGCCTGGGCAACATAGCAAGCCCCTGTCTCTACACAAAAATGAAAAAGTTAACCAGGTCTAGTGGTGTGCACTTTAGTCCCAGCTACTTGGGAAGCTGAAACAGGAGGATCACTTTAGCCCAGGAGTTTGAGACTACAGTGAGCCATGACTGTGACATTGCACTCCAGTCTGGGTAAAAGACTGAGAATTTGTCTCTAAAAAAAATTAAAACAAATGAACTAAATAAAAATAAATAGTACTTTCACCAGCTCCGCTGCCTATATCCACCAACATCAGTACAACCATTACTGCCAGCAGTGTGGATAGGCATGAGTTCAGGTGCCAGACCAGCCCTGTCTGTGTGTGAGAGGGAGAAAGGCAGAGACTGAAAGGAAGAAATTAGGCTGGGGAGAAATGTCACATGGCCACTTCAGAGAAGTCCAACCTGGAGCAGGGGCTGAAGAGTTGAACCAGCCTATGATCAACAGACCAAAGTGGCTTAGTGGAAAAACCCACCATCTGACCCTATTCAGACTCATATCCTTCATTGAGGTTGGAATGTTCTGGCATCTGCATAGTATGTTGGGAACAACTTTGAAGGCAGGCAGCCCTGAGTTCAAATCTGAGACCTATCACTTACCAGCTGGGGGAGCATGGTCAAGTCACTTAATATCTCATTTTCCTCCTCTGAAAAATGGGTATAACAGTTTCTACTTCACAGTGTTTCTGGGTAGCGTAAATGGGATCACATATGTCCAGTGCCCAATGTCCAGTGTAATACACAGACGGTGCTCATTTCACAGGAGTTTTCCCCACTCCCCACCCCTCTGGTCTGTCTTCTGCTCAGAAGGGACTGGGTCTTACAGCATCGGGGCCAACACTTCATGCTTCATCCTGAAGAGCACTGGGCTTCCTGAGGAGAAGCCCTGAGAAGAAAGCAGAGACTGACAGTCTGAGTAGCTGAGTGAGTTTGATCCTGGGTACCATAAGGCTTTGTCATAGGTCTTTGCTAGCTAGGGGCCTTAGTTTCCACATCGGTAAGTGGAGATAGTGATAATCTTTGCATTTTAGGGTTCTTGTGAGGAGTGAATGAGACATTGCATAAAAAGTGCCTGGAACACAGGGAGGGGATCAGAATGTGTGAGCTGCTGGTATCTGTTGTTACTATTGCTAATGTTACCATTGTTAAGCATTTCCCGCTTTCTTGACGTGGGCTCCTCAGAGAATATTTGGTTTCCAAGGTTATGACATCTCAGCCACAGGCCAGTGGCAGGAGGAATTTGGACCTGGCCTGACTACCTCCCACTGCGACTGGAAAGGAGCTGGCATTTTGCTTTGATCATGCTTGCAGCCTGGGTTTGTATGGCATGGGTCCTGGTGAATCACCTCAGAGCGTCAGAGCCCTAAAGCACACCCCAGGCTTCCAGGGCATACTGAGAATTGTCTCTGCTGCCCAGATGTGTCAAATTCCACCAGGAATTCTCCCAGGGAGTAGCTGCTGCCCATCGACTAGGAGCTCCCTGTGATGCACTGTATGGGGGTCTTCCCCTGGTGAGAGACTTGGACCTCTAGCCCCTTTGCTTCAGCCCCCTATAACAGGGTGAACCTAATAGGTTAGAAGACCTCAGTGCAAGTTCTGCTTTGGTCCCTTATCAGCAGTGCAAACAGAAGCAATTTGACTCCCTTCACCCTTCAGCTTCCCCCCCCAACCCCCAGACATGATGACCCTGACTGTTTCTTATGTTTGCAGGCTGTTGTGAGACTCTAAAAAGAATCCAGTAAGACCATTGTTGGGAAGGACATGTGAGATCCCAAAATGATATGAATACCAGCAAAATTAGAAACTCTGTTGTATGTACCTTCAGGCACTGTCTCTCCCTCTCTGGCCTCAGGTTTCTTGCCTGTAAAAGGAAGGGTTTGGTTTAGATTGGCATACCTAGAGTGATAATTCAGGAAAGAAAGGACTGTGTGTTTAGATAAATTTGGTAAAAGCTACACTTGTGATCTTCTGTGTCCAAGTATGCATTTGTGTATACAAGACCAGGAGATACCTGCAGGAATCAAATCTGCTTAGCTTTACTCAACACAAATTCTCCTACTGTGACCCCAGAGCCTCATGATTATGATTATGGTTATGACTAATGCTACAACTACCATTACTGTTATGATTATTTGTATTGACTGCTCCGTTTATCTGCCACCAAACTCCCTTGGGAAACAGCCAGGTGAGCAGGTGCACATGGGTCCTTGTGCTCTTGCAGACACAGAGCCAAATATCCAAGGGGCAGGAATCCAGCTGGTCACACTCTGTCCCTGTGTCCTCCAGGTGCCTTCCTGATCCCATACACTTTGTTCCTCATCATCGCGGGGATGCCCCTGTTCTACATGGAGCTAGCTCTGGGACAGTACAACCGGGAAGGGGCCGCCACAGTGTGGAAGATCTGCCCATTCTTCAAAGGTAAAGAGGAGTTGGGGGAAGGGAAGGTTCATTCAGAAAGGCTTCCCTGTTGCCCCTGGAGAATCTGCTCCAGAGGGGAAGGCTGAGGCAGACCTCTTCTCTTGTGGGATTCACAGGTATTAGTATAGTCAAGAGTTTCCCCCATTCAAAGTTATATGGAGGCCAGACACAGTGGCTCAAGCCTATAATCCCAACACTTTGAGAGGCCAAAGCAGGAGGATTGCTTGAGCCCAGGAGTTTGAGACCAGCCTGGGCAGCATAGTGGGACCTAATCTCTACAAAATATCTAAAAATAGCCAGACATAGTGGTATATACCTGTAGTTCCAGCTACTCAGGAGGCTGAGGTGGAAGGATTGCCTGAGTCCAGGAAGTCAAGACTGCAGTAAGCTTGATTGTGCATTCCAGCCTGGGTAACAGAGTGAGACAGAGTGAGACGCTGACTCAAAAACAAAAACAGACAAGCAAACCAACAAAATCCCCAAACCCCACAAAGTTATATGAGAGTATTTGGTGTGTCAGGGATGGCATTGACATAGAAAGTCTGGAAACCTGGGTTCCAGTCCAGACTCTACTCACTGAATGACCAGAGGAAAATGCTTATAAAAGAGTCCCAAGTACCCAGCGCATATACCACTACTCTCTCCTCTTGTTCCATTGACAGGCATGATAAATCAATCATGAATCCTTCTGAGCTCAGTTAGAAAACTGACTCATAATCCTTAATACAGCAGCCACAAGTAATTGCTTGCAGCTTTGATATAAAATGAAGGCTTGCAGCCGGGCTTGGTGGTTCAGCCTGTAATCCCGTGCCTTTGGGAGGCTGAGGTGAGTAGATTGCCTGAGCCTGTGGGTTCGAGACCCGCCTGGGCAGCGAGACCTCATCTCTACAATAAATCAAAAAATCAGCCGGGCATGGTAGTGCATGCCTATAATTCCGGCTACTTGGAAGGCTGAGGCAGAAGGATTGCCGGAGCCCAGCAGGTCGAGGCTGCGGTGGCTGGGAGCGGCTACTGCACTCCAGTCTGGGCGACAGAGTGAGACTCCAACTCAAAAAAATAAAAATAAAAATAAAATAAAATGAAGGTTTGCATTTGGGACTAATAAATAGCTCATCTGCATAAAGTAGCCATAACAACTGCTGTTTCTTGGCCCTTATATAGCAGGGAGAAGGCCATAAGGTAAGAGTTAGTCTCTCCCAAGCCTGGGTTAGAGAATTGGGCCTAGATGATAAGGATGGCCTGTATGATTCCCATGAGCCTTTTCTCAGCTGGTACGTGTCTCCTGAGTACCTCCTGTGTATTCAGTGCCATGGTAGAGACAGGCTGGTACAAGAGTCTTATAAGACATGTTTATAAGTTAAGTTTTTTTTTGTTTGTTTAATTGCCAGAAATCCATCTTAAACTGGCTTTAATATAAAAGGGAATGCATTGGCTTATGTTACAGTAAAGTTCAGGTGTTTGCTTCAGGTATGGCTAGATACAGGTACCCAAATAATTTTCTAGAATCTATATCTCCCTTTGTCTCAAGTGTTTTTTTTTTTTCTGTGTTAGTATCAGCCTCAGATACATTATTCTCAAGTGCTTATAAAGATGGCCATCAGTAACTCTAGACTTAAATTTTACCAAATTTAACAGTGATCAAAAGCAAAAAAGCAAATAAACAAATGAAAATCCTTACATATTCATAGCTTCATTAAAGGTCCCAGAGAAGACTCTCATTGGTTTATCTTGAGTCACATGCCTATCCATTAACCAATCACTGTGGCTATGAAGAAGCAGTACTCTGACTGACCAGTCCTGCATCATGTGATCAACAAAGGAGGTGATTAGCCTCACACAAACCTGACAGGCTAAGAATTGCTTAAGGCTAATTCCTTAAAGCAATGCTGGGCAGGGAAGAAATAGTCAATTCTCAGCAAAAGTCATAGAAGAAGCCCAAGCAGCTTCTGACATATTCAGAAACACAATACTGGCACACAAAGCAGGTTGTTGAGAGTAGGACCCAGAGAACACACTGGGTTGAAGTTCTGATCAGGGATTGCCTGGTTGGGGTTCCCCCAGAAGCCAATCCTGAGATGAGGATTTAAATGAAAGGCATTATTGTGGGAGGTGATCAGAAAGCAGCAGATGGGGATGGAGTGTGTCACCAAGTAAGTTCCATCATGGACAAGAAGTTCATTCCTACCTGGGGAGAGTATGAGACACACTTCAGTGTTATCCTGCCCAAGGAGGAGGGGAGCTGCGATACTTACACCCCAACTCTTGACATGGCTGCTCCCTGGGCACAGTAGGGTCACCTGCTTGGTGAGTGGGCAGAGGGGCTTTAGTGGCAAGAAAGAACCCTCAGGCAAAGGGATAGTAGGTGCCCACAGAATACGGATGGGGCTCTTACAATCTGCTACAGAGAAAGAGAGGCATGGGGGTTGGGAGTGCAGTGCCTAGAGCCACTCCCTCGGAGAGGTGGCTCTGGGGCTGGGCCTGGGGAAGTGCCTGCCTGACCCCCATCCCTACCCAGGAGTTGGCTACGCTGTGATCCTGATCGCCCTCTACGTTGGCTTCTACTACAATGTCATCATTGCCTGGTCCCTCTACTACCTCTTCTCCTCGTTCACTCTCAACCTGCCCTGGACTGACTGTGGCCACACCTGGAACAGCCCCAACTGCACTGACCCCAAGCTCCTCAATGGCTCTGTGCTGGGCAACCACACCAAGTATTCCAAGTACAAGTTCACGCCAGCAGCAGAGTTTTACGAGTAAGTCACAGACCCCTTATCCTGGGCCTGTTGAGGCCTGTGCTGGGCGTGACAAGGAAGACAAGAGAGGAAGGGGACAAATGCCACTGGCAATTCAGTGTTTACTGAGCAGCTGCAGGCCTGATACTGGGCTAGGAGGTGAGGATACGACTGTGGACAACCAGCTAGTGATTGGGGGCAGGATAGTGGAGGCAGGGGAGAGAGTACACAGGTACACAGATAAGAAAGTCAGAACATTTGAGAGCGTGCATGTACCCTACAAGAAACACAACACGATCGGGTACAGTGGCTGAAGCCTGTAGTCCCAGCACTTTGGGAGGCTGAGGTGAGTTCACAAGTTTGAGAACAGCCTGGGCAACTTGGCGAGACCTCATCTCTATAAAAAATAAAAAAACTAGCCAGGCATGGTAACGCACATGCCTGTAGTTCCAGCTATTTGGAAGACTGAGGCAGAAGGATTGCCTGAGCCCAGCAGGTTGACACTAGGGTGACCGTGAGCTGCCACTGAACTTCAGCCTGGGCGACAGAGAGACTTGACTCAAAAAATAAAAAAAGGAAAATAGCATATATTGGAGAGTGTCATGGCTCACAAAACACTAAAACCAAGTACGTGGGAGAAATTGATTGTAGAGGGAAAAGAACATTGGCTCAGGTGATCAGGGAAGGCCTCTCTGAGGAGGTGACATAAGAACTGATGAAGTCAGAGAAGGGAACATCTCAAGGCTCAGCGGCTGATGATGAGCTGTGGTTTGAACCCAAGTTGAGCTGATCCTAAAGCCCACTCTGGGCTGCTGTCTCTCTGGGTCTCCCATGGGAGAAAGGAGCCAGTGTTTGTGAGTGAAATTCAAGAAACAGGAAGCAGGCTAAATGCAGCTCGGGGAAATTCTTTGGACCACGTGTGAATGAGAGGCACTGACCGGTGGTGAAAGACAGAACAGCAGTAAAAAAAAGAAACATTTATGATGAAACAATTTTGTACATAGAACCGTTGTAAAAATAGTACATACATCACCCAACTTCCCCCAATGTTGACAGCTTACATAACCATAGTATAATTTTGAAACCAGAAAATTAACATAGATATAATATTAGCTAATTTACTACAGACCTTATCTGAATTTTACCAGTTTCCCCACTAATGTTCTTTTCTGTTATTTAGCTGTCATGTCTCCTTAGTCTTCTCCAGTCTGTGAGAATTCTTTGGTCTTTCTTTGAATTTCATGACCTTGTTCCTTTCAGAGAGGACTGACCAATTCTTCTGTGAAAGAACCCTCAATCTGTGTTTGTTATTTTGTCAGGATGAGATCAAGGTTATGCATTTGGGGTAAGAATCCCATAGACATGGTGCTGTGCCCTTCTCAGTGTGTCATATGGGGGGACGTGATATCCGTGTCTCATTACTTGTGATATTAACCTTGAACACTTGGCTAAGGTGGGAACTTCGGCTTTCTCCTATGCAGAGATAGTATTTTTCCTTTTTAAATTAGTATGTGTCTTTTGACGAGCTACTTTGAGATTGTGTAAATATCTTGACTCTCACCATATTTTTGCTTACATTTCTCAGCATCTATTGATGATTCTTGCAAGCAAGGATTATTACGGCCATGTTTGTCTCATTGAGATTTTCTCTTTCCATCCTTCCTTCTAGAGTCATTGATTGGAATTCTTCTGTAAAAAAGAGTCGTTCTTTCTCCTCTGTTTATTTACTTATTCAATTAGTTATTTACATCAATATGGGCTCATAGATATTCATTTTATTCTGTAGTTTAAATTTATAACCACTGCTTAATTTGTTGTTCCGCTGAATCCTTTCAGCCTCGACTCTATCTATCCTTTGATGTCCTCAAGGAAGGTGATGGCCAACTTGTTTTTAGCCACCTAATTTAAGTTGCTTTCTGGAGCTTTCTTCCGAGTGTAGCCTGTATTGCCTTTACCCTTCCAGCATGGGTCAGTCTCATTTTAGCAGTCCCTACACAAGTCTAACAGTTAAGCAGAAAATATGTGTTATAAGCTGTGGAGCAAGACAGATAAATTCCACCTCACCCTCAGGGTACATGAGGTCTAGAGCAGAGGTCCCCAAACTTTTCTGTGTAAGACCAGAGAGTAAATATTTTGGGCTTTGCAGTCCACATATATCCTTATTGCGTGTTTTTCTTTGTTTTAGTTTGCCCTTTAAAAGGGTAAAAGACATTCTTTATTATTATTATTCATATTTTTGAGTTGAGGTCTCCCTCTGTTGCCCAGACTGGAGTACAGTGACATAATCATGGCTCACTACAGTCTCTAACTGTTGAGCTCAGGCCATCTTTCTGTCTCAGCTTCCTGAATAACTGAAACTACAGGCATACGCCACCACAGCCAGCTAATTTTTTGTAGAGATAGGATCTCACTATGATGCCCAGGCTGGTCTCAGTATCCTAGGCTCAAGTGATCCTCCTGCCTCGGTCTCCCAAAGTGCTGGGATTACAGTTATGAGCCACCAAACCTGACCTAAAAGGATGAAAACCATTCTTAGCTCACAGGTCGCACCCAAACAGACCACAGCTTGGATTTGTCCCAGGGTATCAGCAATTTGCTGATCTCTGGTCTAGAGCAAGGTTTCCCATTAAAACTTCTTGCAATGATAGAAATGTTCTATATCTGTGCAGTTCAACACAGTAACCAGTCACCACATGTGGTTACCAAGAGGTTGAAATGTGGCCACTGTGACTGAGGAACTGACCTTTTAATTTTATTTCATTTTAACATATTTATGTGTAAATAATCACATGTGGCCAGGGCAGATCTAGAGTGTGAGAAAAGACAAATTCACAAACAATTAAACTATAAGGTGACTCATCATCAGTCCTGTGAATTCCCTAAGCCCAGGACCTGGGAATGAGTCCTGATTATCCAGAGTTTGAGGTTATTCCAGGACCATTCCCATGCCTGCCATCTTGCTGCAGTGGAACCAAGAAGATTCAGTTTGGGTACAAGTGACTCTGGAAAGTCTACTGCCTCCTGGGGCTCAGGAGAGTCAGTGTTCTCAGACCCAGCAACCACCCCTATTGGACCTTAGAGAAAATTTGCTAAGGGTCCTACCCACATCCACCTGCCTTCGTCTGTGACTTCATGGACTCACAGCAGGCATGTGCAAAATTATGCATTTGAATATTTTTCTGGGAGACGGTCCACCGTTGCCACCAAATTCTCATATACCTCTGAAACCCCACAAGGGATCTGAAACACTGCTGTTCTTGATAGCAAGCATCTGCTAAAAATCACAGCATTGCCTTGTCCTCCTCACCACCACAACATCAGCAGCCAACCTCTTATCTTGTGTAAGAGGTTTTCTGCCAGCTTCTTTGTATGTATTATCTTGATTGAAACCTCACACCAACCTAATGACTCTTTCTGTGACTCTTGTCTTCACCACACACTCGAGAAAGCTTCACTCCACATATGAGACAGCAAAGCCCACAAGCACACAGCCAGTACTGTGCAGGGCAGAGATCTGGACCTGGTTGGCTTTCATTTGAAAGCCAAGAGTGAGCACCTCCTTACATTTTGTATCCCAGGAGCCTAACCCCAGCCACGCTTTACAGGGAAACTCCAGAGCCTCCCTTAACCTCTATGGCATATGGAACACTAATCATTATATATAGCTGTTATTATTCAGAAATATTGCCGTAGTCACAACACATATTTATCCAGCTTAGAGGGTGCCCCAGTCCTTGTATAAAGTGCCTTTTCTATGCTGTCTTTTAATCTGCCTGCTGTGATCTAAATTTATTATTTTATGAATGAGGAAACAGGCACAAAGCAGTAAGCGACTTGTCCAAGGTCATACAGTTTAGAAGTGGTATTCAAAGTGGGTTTGGAACCAGGCAGTCTGGTTCCAAGGCCCAATCTCTCAGCCCAGTTGTTTTAAGGCTGGGCTGCACATTGGAATCACCTGGAGAGCTTTTACATACACTGATGCCTGGATCCCATTCCACATCCAAAGATTCTGATTTCATTGGTCTGGGGTATAGCCGAGTGCAGAGTTTTTGTTGTTGTTGCTGTCGTTGTTTTTAACTAAGATACAGGGTCTCGCTATTTTTCCCAGGCTGGCATTGACCTTCTAAAGTGCTGGGATTACAGACACGAGCCACCGTGCCTGGCCCAGAGATTTTCATCAACTTCTTGTCCTGCAGTTCTAACATCCAGTCAAACTTGGGTGCCCCTGTTTTAGCTACTGTGCTCTCCTTCCTCAGAGCAAGATTCCTGCCAAGGTCAGACTGACATCTCTACACTCTTGTGTCATGGAAAATCCAGAACTTCCTCCAGTCTTCTGAGGAGCATGGTCTCAGAAAATCCCAGAACCCTGGAAGAGCTCGCGGATAGAGTGTAGTTTGGATGGAGAGATGGAGAAGAACATCAGGTCAGGGCATGCTGCCGATACGTGTCATCGGTTGCATGCTCTCACCTTATCCTCCGGTGGAGGAAAGAGCATGATTTTTCTTTTGGCTCTTGGCAACCCTTGTTCTTGTAAATTAAATGGAAAATGATTACTTCATCTCTATTCTAGTAAGTACTCAATTCCTCCCCTGACGCCAGCAAGTCCGTCCCAACAGAGACACCCAACAGGAGGGTGGAATGAGATGGGTTTGGAGACCCTGGTTACTTTAATGACTGCCCTAAAGTTCTCCCAGGCTGTGAGCAGAATGCAGTAGAAGAAGATGACGGTTGACTGGGACTGGGGAGAGAGGGGGACAGTATGCAGGGATTACTTCAGGAGATTTCTGCCCTGCAGTCCCCCTCCTTCTCCTCTTCTCCTTAACATTTCCTCTCCTCCCTCCCAGACAAAACTTCATAGCTACCATGAGCCAGGTCTTGTGTATCTCTGCACATCCAAATCCCATTTAATCTTCATAGTTCATGGAGGTGAAAAGTATCTCCATTTTACAGATAAGAAAATAAGAGGCTCAGGTTTTAGGTAAGTGGCAGAGCTGGGATCTGAACCCAAGTTGTCTGACTCA